CCCACCGGCTGCCTGGAGCACAGCCCTGGGGTGGTCCCTGCCCAGCACGGCCGGGGAGGACCCCAGCCCGGCCACCTCCCCAGGACAGACCCCGAGGGGCACCGGGAGATGCTGACGCAGCGGAGCGACCAGCCGAAAGCCCAGGGCCACAAGCAGGAGGAACAGCGCTGAGGGAACGCGTGGAGATACAGGAATGGAGCTGGGCAGCAAAGCTCCAGACACGGGTGGGGAATGTCCTCTCCAGCCGGAGACGGAGGAGAGGCAGAGCCACCCCCCCCTCCCCTCAACCACCGGCTCCTCGAGAGCCACTCTCACCTTTTTGGCTTCTAACATCTTGTTCTCGAAGACGTAGGAGATGCAGTTCCTGACCACCTCCAGGCGACGGGCGCTGTTGGCCAGGGCATTGCCGTTGCGCTCCATGATGGCAGCTGGGGAGAGAACCGGCTGTTAGCGCGGCCGGGGCAGAGCTTCCACCCCGGGGTGGGGAGAGGCGGGTGCCCCCTCTCCAAATCCACACGGGCAGGGCTCCAGGCTCCCAGAGCTCGTGCTGGAGGAATACCACGGGGTCTTCAGCCGTCCCCTCATGGTGGGGGACAGACCTCACGGAGCTCTAAGCAGCCTGAGGGGCAGAAGCTAATGGGGACAGTGCTGCTGCTTCTCCACGGCACATTTTGCTGACGTGGGACCCTCGGCCGTGCCGTGGTGTGAACAGGAGCCAGCAACACCGTGGTAAAGCTCCTCCTGAGCAGGGTTTCTCACGGCAGGGGAAGGCCCTCTGCGCACACGTACCGATGGGGGGTCCCGAGGGCACCATGCACTTCTTCTCGGCCTTCACAGCAGGAGGAGCGGTCTGCAGCTTGGCAGTGGCCTGGTCGATGATCCACTGCACTGTCCCCTCGTCCAGACGGGGAAAAGGCTTCTGGTGGAGCCGCAGGTGACAGCCTTCCGTGGGCTTCTGCACCTTGTGCATGGTCACCGCCGGGTACGGGTTCTCCTGGCACGGCACGGACAGTTTCTTTTCAGGCACGCAGACGTCACGCGTCCTCTCCCAGGGCAGCAGCCCCAGCGAGGCATCCTGCAGCAACCTCTGGTGCCAAACGCTCG